CCCAATGGAGCTATCCTGCAGGACCTAGGTTCCCCAGGGCTGGGTTCCTCCAGTCCCAGAATCAGATGAGTGTGCGCGCACACACACACCAGAGCAAGTCTGAGCAGACAGGGTCAATCAGCACTTTCAAGCTGTCACCCTTATATGCCCCTGGACTCAGTGGGCTGGGTCAAGCAGCACTTTTAAGCTGTCACCCTTATATGCCCCTGGGCAAAATAGGCTGGGCCAGGCAGCACTTCAAAGCTGCAACCCTTATATGCCAAAGGTTTATCCCCATTTTCACGTTAAGTTATACTGGTAGTAACCCACTTGATGAGCAAACCCCACAGTATTTTGGGCGCTACAGGGATCTTTAGCTTAGGTAAAAGAAACATTGCTGCAGAGTAAATGGGGGAAGCTAAAAACACAAAAGAGTAAAGTTGAGAGAAAGAGAGAAGCAACTATCTTAACCATAAAAGTTATTTATTGAATAACGGTGATAACTACACAAGGAGAGCCTAAACGCACATAAGTTACATTATTAAAGGTTAATACCTGAGGTAGAAAAGAGAAGAGAGAGAGAGAGGGATCTCACCACTCCATAGAGCTTGAACTGGTCAGGGTTCCCAGGTGATGGTGGTAGTTCAGGACCCTGAACTCTGGAGACAGGCAGAGCCCCCAGCACGATCAGTCAGGAGAAGATGGAGTCCCAGTGGAACAGATGCGTAGTTGGGGTCCCTGTATCAGAACACTTGGGCATAGGTAGGGGTTTTTGTAGAGAGAATACAGTGGTTCAAGGGAGAACACTAGATTTGTTTATGGGTAAACTGATGACTCAAGAGTTTTTTTTTTTTAGGCTAGACAATAGGAGCTGATCACTCTTGGCTATGGGTGGTGTTTTCTTCCAGGGAGCTCACAGTGCAATTAGGCTGCTTCAGTATTTTGATTATCAATCAAGGATTCATTACTAGAATTGGTCTGATAACTGCTGAGCTGGGTGTGTGCAGGCGTAGGTTCATTAACATTTGGAGCAGAGATCCTCCATGATGCAGTGCTTCCCTGCTTTTCTGGTCCCAGAGTTCAGTGCAGTTCTCTGTTCTCCGTTCTGTATGCTAATGGAGATGACTTAATCTTGTCACCCTTGTTAGGAGCGGTCTAGATGTATCTCCCAACACCCTTCACTGCTCTCTGCAAGTCTTTTCTCTGATCCGTTTTGGTTCAAGCAGAAACTGGTGGGGGCGGGGGTGTCTTTCATGAGTCAGACAGGCTGAATACTGCACCCTGGTTCCCCAAGAACACAGAGCTGACTGGTATCAACATCTGCAAAGCAGTTATGTTGGCATCAGTATACATTTTCAAAACACTATCCCCTAAACTCAGGCTTCCAAGTCCAATGCTGCATTTACTAAAGCAGTTCTTCACTGGTCTGTCTAATCACTCCAAGCCCACCTCCTTAACGCAGTTACTATTTGGGAGGTACCATCAGTTGAGTGTGCATATGGACAAGTACTTCAAGGAGAATGGGAAGTTACCTTGAATTCCAGTTACACTTGGTATGCTAACTATTGTCCACATACACATTCTGCAATATGCCCTGTCATCCTGTCTACCTCTGAGTCCTCTTTGGCAATTCTGTGGTAAGAAGGAACCAAATAGCATCTGATGCCCTTTGCCCTTGTATGCTGTTGTCGCAGAGTATGATGACTGGGAGGCCACCTGTGGACTGTATGGATCAGCTGTTCTCAACCCGCAGGCCACATGCAGCCCAATTAACACACAGCTGTAGCCCAGCTCAGCTGTGTGCTAAAGGCCATGTGCTGGTCTGCCAGCTGCCTCTCGGCCCCGCATGGCAGGTTCGTGGTCCAGGGCTGTCCTTTCCCAGGTCTCCTGCAGTGGCAGGGTCGGGGTCCGTGCTGCCCCTCTTTCCCTCCCCTTCCCCCCCCCCCCCCCCCCCGCAGGGCCCGCCTCTGGGGCCCCGGCTCCCCCTTCCCCCCCCCCCCCCCATGCAGCAGCAGCTTTGGGGCTCCTGGATGCCCCCTGACCCCAGCAGGGTTAGGGTCTGGGTCCCGATGGCCCCCCAGCCCTACGCAGCGGGGTCCAGGATCCCCGCTGCCCACCCAGCACTCTGCTCCTGGCCCCACTCTGTGGAGGGGCCTCTGGGCGGAGGATGCTGGGCATAGGGATGGGGGGGGGTTAGCTAGGGGGCACTGTGGTTCTCAGGTAACACTTTGTGGGCCGCATATGCATCCCACAATGAGAAACAGGTTGAGAATCACTGGTATTGATATTGCTGGTGAAATGTTTCTAATCTTGATGCATATGCCCGCCATCAGTTGAATCTGCTTATGGATAGCACATCTTGAACTCCAGTTACTGTACACAGGCTTTTCTATGGTGCTTATCACTATTTGTATCTGAATGCATTGTTTCACAAATAACAAACTTTCACAATTCCCCTGTAAGGGAAGGAGGCAGTATTATCTCCATTGTACAAAGCAGGAAATTGAGTCACAGACTAATAGATACTGCTGATCTTAATTTTGGGTGCCTAATTTAAGACACAGAGGGCCTGATTATTTCAGAGTTCTTAACATTATGTAACACTCTATTGGAAGCACAGCTCCCATTGACTTCAGTTGTAGCTGTGAACTCTTAGCATTTCTGAAAAATCAGATCTCAGGGACTCAAGTTGGGCACCAGAAAATAGGAAACACACAATTAATGACCACTTCTGAAAAGCTTGCTATAAGGGACTTGCTTGGCATCACATATCCCTGCCTATGTCGTAGAGAATCTGATTCTCCAGGACAGCATTCAGCTGCCTTAGCCATGAGACCTTCCTTTCTCTTCCTGTAATCCCCTGCCTAACTGACTCCTCACCTACTAACTTTTGAAAGAAATGAGACTGGGGTCCCATAGATAAGTCTCCTTTACTACAGAACCCTGATTTATCCCCAGAGCAGGTCCATAGTGTGTACTGAACAAGGTAGGGGTCCTGTAGAGAGAATAGTATGTGATCATGTAATTAAAGACTGTTATAATGCATGTTCACAAGGATGGGGGGGACAAATTAAGCATATATAGGAAACCTTAATTCTGGCACTTCCTAACTTTTGAGTCCTTGACTTTACTACCTTAATGTTCTTTTATCAGTTTGTACGAATGTAACTTCCTAGCTTTGAAAAAAAAAAAAACAACCAACCATCTGGTGTCGTCATATGGATAATCACATGGTCATCAGCAGGTTGGAACCATTAGATCCACTACACAGACTGTTAGCTCAAGTGGTAGAGTACCTGATTTGTCATCCTCTGTATGGACCAGCACTAGAGGGGGATGACATACTATTCCAGTGGATTTCACAGATATTTGCTGACCTAGAATAGAGACACTTTTGTGAATTTTGTGTTTCATTACAGGCTCTTCATCCCATCTTTCCTCTCTACCTCCCCCCGAACACTTGACTCCTGCCCTGCCCCTCCTGCCTGTTCTTGTGTTTTCTGAGTCCTGTTCTCCTTGCTTGCCAGTCTCCACTCTTCAAGAGTCCCATTCTAGTTCCCACCCATCCTCCCTCAGTTCTTTGTGCCCAGTCTTCTTGCCCAGCCAATTCTAAATTCCTCCTTTCTGGTTTCTCATCCAATGTGTTGTGTGCACACACACCCAGGCTGGATCGCAGTCCTCTTCCCCAGCTGCTTCCAGGCTACTGTCAGTTCCCTTGTCCCAGTCTCTCTGCTTAGCCGGTCTCTGTATTCACTCTTCCTCATCTCCTACCCTTCCCAGCTCCTTGTCCAATTTCAGTGTTTCTCTTCATGTCCCCAGTCTCTCCTATCCTTCCTGCCAGTCTCAGTCTCACTAGATTCCTTGTCTCAATCTACTCCTTCCCCTCCCTCTGGTCTGGCTTTCGTCCCATCTGCATTCAGATCAGATGGTTTCCTCCACACTGCTTGGGTGCCAACAGGGTTGGAGGGCAGGGATGGTGAGTGCCATTGAGTACACAGGAGAGACCAGCTCCATGCTCTCAGTTCCAGTGCCCAGCCCACATCGCCCTGAAACAGCCGTTATGGGGAAAATCCAACTTTGCCCTTGTAGCCTTGGGCTGGGTGGAATATGCTCAGTTGCTGTGTGGTTATGGTGTATTCACAGTCTGGGCAGCCCTAGGAGCTGTGAGGCTTGAGCATGCTCAGTGAGGACTGAATCTTTAGAGACTTTAGCTGCAAACTAACAAGTCTCTACTGACGATGCATAACTGTGATTGCTTTTAATGTGGACAAATTTGGGCAGATTTTCATGGGGATGGCAAAGGCACATCTCTGACACAGTCCATCCCTGCCAAATTTCAAGTCCTTCTCCAAATCCATAGGAATACTAGAGCAATTCAGAGGAGAGGTCACCAGAATTTAATATGGGGAGAGCAGCGGGAATACATTGTTTTGCCCTTGCCTTGTTCTCGGAAATGGCTGAGCTGTTTGGCTGTAATCTTAAAAGCTTGAGGCAGATATCTAGCCCATAAAACTCCTGCCAAAATGGCATTTGTCAAAGCTATAAGCGATTGAAAATAGTCTTATGGGAAGTGTTGAGCAACCTTAATAGGTGGTGCTATCAGCCCTGTCTATAATTTGCCAAACTTGCCTACTAGTCCTCCAGTTCCCTGTCAGAGAAATAGCTGTGTCCAAAAAACATGGGTATAAAGCAAAATTAGTATCCCAAACAAAGAGAAAATGTTGAATAGACTGGATATTGGAGAAATTTATTGTCTTATTAAAGGAATTCTGTTCAGTTAAATCAATGTGCCATGTCAGTCTCAAACTGTAATTTCAATGTGTAATCAGAGGAAAGATGGGTCTGAGCTGCAGAACTCTGATCTGATGCTTGAACCATCTCATTATATTTGTGTTCCAAAGGTTTTTGCTTTGGGACTGTTCATCTTTTAAAATGGTGCCTAAATGATTTGATGTATGCTTTTCTTTTGCCTTTTAAAAAAAAACAAACAGATCTTTTAAAAGTGTTCCTTCTTCTTACAGCATCTGAAGAATCGGAAAGTGACATCTACATGCGATTCATGAAGTCTAACAAGTGTTATGACATAGTTCCAACAAGTTCTAAGCTTGTTGTTTTTGACACTACATTACAAGTAAGTCCTTAAGACTACATTTTGTTGCAGTTCAGTTGCCTTTTAAAATACCCACATAGATATCATCCTCGAATGCTGTGTGAAATTGATTTCTCTTTAGAGAAAACTGTTTTTGAGATGCTTTTTGGGTCCAAGAATCGGTAATATGTTTTTAAAAGTGTGTACATCTGTATAGGAGGGAACTTTCATATTTTACTTTGAGTCAATAGCGTAGCCTTCAAATGGACATGGAGTTTTACTGACTTTCCAACGGGGGATAGGTAAATGAAATAGTTATCAAAATATCAATATTCTATGATTATGCAGGAGTATGGATATTATGCAAATTATCAGAATGTTTTGAGCCTTGCCTTTTAAGATTAAATAATCCTCTGAATTAAATAAGTGTGTAATTCCTTGGAGGTCATACATTTTACCAGTAAATCATCAGCATATTTAATCTAGTTTAGACTTTTGGTTTTGTGTGCATGAAGAATGCAGTTGCCAAAAGCAGAAAGTACTAGAAGTTCAGTCCATTCTGGAAACATTAAGAATAATTTGTTCTGAAATTAGGGGCACACAATTTGATTCTTTCTAGACTCTTCAGATTTTCTTGGTTCTATTTGGAGTGATTTTTAAAAGAAGCAGCAAAAGGGGACTATTAACTTTAGCCTGATTTTAAAAGACTGAGTTGAGATGAGACATGCTGTGCTCCTAGTGTCCCCTGAAAAGATAAATGATGCAGTAGTAACTGTTTTGGGGTTTTTTTTTTTTTTGAAAATTTTAAGAAAATACCTCTTTCAGATTGTAGTATCTTCCTTGCATCAGAATGAATCTACAGGTTGGTTTATTTATTGCTTACTGTAAGTCTAATTGCTCTTTTTTGTGGCTTTAAAATCGCAATTTCACTTTTTCTTTAAAAAAAAAAAAAAATTTTTTTTTGATAGTGGAATAGCAAGTATATACCAATCTGTGTTAGCCTCTAGAGCAGGGGTCGGCAACGTTCGGGACGCGGCTCGCCAGGGTAAGCACCCTGGCGGGCTGGGCCAGTTTTATTTACCTGCTGACGCGGCAGGTTCGGCCGATCGCGGCCCCCACTGGCCGCGGTTCGCCGTCCCGGGCCAATGGGGGTGGTGAGAAGCCACGGCCAGCACATCGCTCGCCCGCGCCACTTCTCGCCGCCCCCATTGGCCCGGGACGGCGAACCGCGGCCAGTGGGGGCCGCGAT